GTCTATATACATATGTATATATACATATACATACACAGACACAGACACAGACACAGACACAGACACAGACACATATAATATATATATATATATATATATATATTGTGAGTAACTAATTTAGTTCACGAACGGTTTAGAGTGAAACAACGTTTGTACTTTATAGGATCAAAGTAGTGTAATAGCTTACAAGGTTGTGAGGACTGATCATCCCACAACCTTGATAGATATACCTAAAATTAGATATTGTATGCCGTCAGACCCTCTGGTCACTGACGCAACATCTCCTTTCTCGCCATGAGCTCCATCATACTATTACACCACACTACTAAATGATTTTATGCTCTTCTTCTATTGGTCTACTCTTACCGAATCAGCTGTAGACATAAACCAATATCATTAGACACACAACATTTCTCCATGTTTTCAGCACTCTAAAAAATCACCCCACCGTACACCCGAACCGCCAAGCATGAATCAGATACAATTCAGTTCTGCACACGAGCCCTCAAGCTCACTACTATCTGTGGAACACACCCATATTACAATATATATATATATATATTCTTACATACCTTCTGTAGTAGGCCCCTTTCTTGACTGAGATCCTGCACCAGCAAATCGTCTACCGTCATCGTCGCAAAAGTCCCATCCGCACTCGTACGCACATGGGCACCCAATCCAGAGGACGCAATCTCACACAACACTATCTGTCTGGTGACAAGTGTTAGCTTGAATTGCTGGAAGGTAGCTGAAGCCTTCATGTACATGACTGGTGTGGCTGTGGTGGCTGTGCCTTTGGTAGATTTGGGGTTGTCACTGGATCCGGCAGCGACCAGCTGCTGCGAGAGTTTCTGTGCGGAATAAGAACCAAAAGAAGGGAAAAAAACACAGGGGGTTTTATGAGTGCGTGTACAGAAGGAATAAATTGTGACCAGTCCCTACTATGTGATGATCTATTAGAACTATAAACCCTGAAACTCTAAACCAAATAAACCAACTAAAACGCGAAACCCCTAAAAACCTTACTATGTGGTGACCTATCGCCCGAGATGAAGCCTACCCCTGCGCCACCAGCCACAAACTTAAACCTCCAAAGCCCTAAACCCTGAAACAGCCCAACTTAACTAGGCGAGATAGACTGATGTCCAAAACCCTAAACCCTGACAGCAGCCCAACTGAACTGAGCACGATAGCGGCTACTACTTGATCTCGTTCACATACACTCCTTGGAAGAGTAGCCTCATCACCTGTACCACTGTAGCAATGAAATGTCTCAAACACCTCTCCTAACGGAATATATCCTCAACTGAGTTTATCTAGCGACACATCACTCTTGTTTTTGTTACATAATCCGGCCTTTTAAAGGGCATATTTTGTCATCTGTGCCACAGGAAAGAACCCCAAAACAGATATTAACGACGCAAATGTTGCTACAGACTGTATGAAACAGCTTTATATGTTCTCACCTGCACCATTTAAAAGTGGACGAATGATATCCCACATGTGTCACAAACGGCTTATTTTCACACATATGCCACTTTAACATACTCCTCTTCATCTCTCTCTACTTCAGGATAAAAGGTCTTATCTTATTTTCTCGCATATGTCACTTTAATATACAACACCTCTGCATCTCTCTCACTTCAGAATAAAAGGTCTTATTTTCTCACATGTGTCACTTTAACATACAACACCTCTGCATATCTCTCTACTTCAGGATAAAAGGTCTTATTTTCTCACATGTGCCATTTTAACGTCTTAAGCGTTTAACACACTTCAGAATAAAAGGTCTTGTTTTCTCACATGTGTCACTTTAACACCTAAAGCTTTTAACACTTCAGAATGAAGGTTCGTATTTTCTCACCTGTCCTTTTTTAGTGGGCTGAGTGATAGCATTGTTGTCTACGCTCTTCTGTCTATTGCTACGTAGGCCCACACTGGGCGCCACTAGCGAGTTGCCTAATAAGGCAACGAGTCATTGTACGTTAATAATGGTGCAGACATATACGTTAACAAAGACACACACAGGCGTAAACAACAAAGGCGTTTATGCAACGTTTACGTAAACGATATATATATATATCTACGTAACTGTGTGGATGTATATACGTTTCATATGGTGTAGGCGTATACGTTAACAAGGGCACCCACTGGCGCAAACAGTAAAGGCGTTTACGTAAATTAACGTACATGATA